CGCCAGCGAAGAATGAAGAGGAATATACTCAAGGTGGAAGAGAGAGCGCAAAATGAGATAAGGAGAGTAAGGAAGAGACGGAACAAGTAAGGTTATTGTAGAGAAGCTTGAAAGAAGCCTTTCCATCTCTTTTTCTCGTTTCGAAGGCGCCTTCGTTTCTTCTTTATTCCCGCGTTCTTTTACCAATTGGATCTCTTCCCATTTTTATTCGCTTCGTCTTTTTCGCTTTCTTCCTTTTTCGAACGCGGTTGCAGCAGTTCTTTTAGATACAGGGTGGTTATAAAGTGACTTGTTTATTTTTGCAGGGCTTGATATAAGTTTTTTTTAAACGGATTGATGAAGTGCGGTAATAATTTCCAGGCACTTTAAGGAAGTCCATTAACTTTTTCTAGTTCTTTTTTCTGGCACCTTTTCTTTCGGTTCTCTTTAAGAATTATAACTGTCAAGTCAGGATATCGACAAAGTACACGGTTCCAGTGACTGGTGGAACTGAATACTTGTGTAAAGTTTCGCGAAAATGATCAGTATTTGATGTCAGAAGTTCCTTGGCATTAATACTAATGGCTGCTGTTTATTATTTGCTGTTGTTGCTGTGCTATTACAAATTTATTCCAATACCAAATCAAATTGCTAGAATACCTAACTACGCCAAAATTGTGACTCTGAATTTTAAAATCAACAATCAAGTATTGTTGTTTGCTTTTTTTCATTTTCTTATCAAACTGAAGCTGCAGATGTAATTTCGTACACAAAACCATAGTCGAGCTCTTAACGGAATACAATTTCATTCCATCAAACGAAATCTTATTTGAATTAGCTTAGCGTTTCACGAATGAAGAGGGCACTCGTTCAAATATAAATTCCGCGGCGCATCCAATCATTCTTTTTCCTTTCTGAACTAACAGTAGAAGTAGCAGCGGTATACATCTACTTTACAACCAATCTGCATCTCTTTTCTCCTTTGTCCTAGCCCTCGAAGATGCAGTTTCTCGACTAGGAAATCCAGCGACTCTTTAGTACATTCTGGAAGCGACTCCTTTCTCTTACATCTGGGCCCCGCTTCTTCGTTTATTTCTTCTTCTGCTTCGTCTTCGTTTTCTCCTCTCTCTCTCTCTCTCTCTTTCTCTCTTCTGTACTTGGATATTCGAAAGATGTCCCGAGGGACATTCTCCGTTGCATTCAGCGAGTAAGTGGAACTTATTCCGCCGTGGAGTTTCTCTGTCTGCGTGTCTCGCTCGATTCTACTCTTTCTCTTTCCTTCTCTTTCCGTCGCTCACTCGTTCGCTCGCTTACTGTATATCAAGAAATTGCTCCTGTAGAGGAGAATATAGCGCTCGTGAGTGCCGCGAAGCATCGAATGCACAGACTAATGCAGAGGCTGAGGAGAGTAACGTTGCGGAAACGGCTTAATCGCATATTCTTCTCTTGTATGTATACACGCGTGCGCCTGTATTAAAGGGGGCGAGTGAGAGGGAGAATGCTTAGGGCTTTGTGGAACGTGACGGTTTCGCCCCTTTTATATTTCTAGTAGAACGTACATGTCGCTCGTTACAACGGGGATACTCGCGATCTTTGCGAGCGTCGAGCGAATATGCGCCTTGCATGTACTTTGCATTGAATTATACATGTATGCGATATGCGTATATTTATCCACGATTCTGTTGTTGCTGCTGCTGCTGTTGCTGCTGCT